ACACACACCCACACACACACACACACACACACACACTGTAGCAGAGGAAACCAAATCCTCTCGAATGAAATTGTGTGACGTGCTGAAGAACTTCAAAAACCTGCCCATTACACGTGACTATGGCAAGCCTGCATACGTAATACGGCTGTGTGAACTAAAACACAACAACATAATGAATTTTAAATAATGCGCCAATCGATATGCATCAGAGCTGTTTTCATGTGAAGTACTGCAGTAAGGCTATGAGTGTTTTATGATGGAATTAGAAGAGAGTGCATGTCTCTTCAATACAGCCAAACTATATATAAGCATCCAAGTGGGGTAATACTTCAGCCTGGGGCATTTTTTTATCTGACAGACAGAGACCACAAAAGCCATACTCTTTACAGGCTGCTTTCCTTCCACGCTCCATCTTTGATGAATGCATCTGAGATTGGATAGAACAGCCCGCTTTAAAATGATGAATGCGGTTTATGGGACGAGGGAAGGATGGCGTGGAAAGGAAGTAGACCAGACTGGAAAAGGGATCACAGCAAAGTATTGTGGGAATTTACCTGTGAATGGCAGCAAAGAGGTCCTCTGTGGTGCGGGGCCATGTGGGGGTCACCATGTCCCCCACAGTGCTGGGAGACTGAGTGACGTCCAACGTGCTGGACTCGAACACCTCACCTGGTAGAACATTCATATATTAAACTTGTATAATAATAATAATAATAATATATATTTAAATACATACATATACATGTAAATACATAGAGAGAGAGAGAGAGAGAGAGAGTTGTTATAATAACAGTGTTTTTATCGTAAAGTATTGCGCTTCCAAATCCAAGGTAAAAACAGTTTAATATTCAAAAAAGCTTCTACCAAATGCATAAATGTAATGTAAATGTGCTCTGATAATAACAAACTCAGCTGTCAAACCGATACTGTCTTGCTCATAAATGCCTTGCATTCTAGAACTTGATACTGTTACGTCAAAATGCATAGGCATGTTTGGACAAACTTGTCTAACAAAAACATTCAAAGAATGGAGAGGAGAACCTTCTAGGCAGATTTAAAACTCTAGAGAGCTTGAACACGGATTATGCAAAATATAAGAAAATACAAGATTTCAAAACAGTCAATCAAAATCCTACATTTCATACAAGTACCAAGACACATCACAGCCGTAAATATTCCAAGGACATGCACATACGCATCACGCTGTTCAATTATAACATGTATGAAGGACGGTAAAAAGCTGTATGTTTAAGATTCTCTTACATTGTTATGGTCGTATCCACCTTTCCAGAGTTCAGTTGCTCTGCTCTCTTCTCATCTCACATCTGCACTTGCCTGAGCTGCTGAGGGTGATCTCACGTTACGCGCTCTCTTCCCTACCCCTCCCTCACTTTTCTCTTCCTATACCCACTGTCAGCTCCACCCCCCGCCCCATCCCGTTTAAAAGCTTTCCCTAGAGAATGCTGTGGCTGTCCCATTCTATCCTGACTCTGGCTAGAAGTGTGAGTGTGGTCACTGTGACAACGATGATGTTGAAAGAGACACACATATTCTCTTTAGCTGTAATGATTTTAAAAATATAAGAGAGAAATACCTAGAAAAGTCCTGATATGTAAGCTGCACACCTTCATTAAACTAAAAAATTTAATTTAAGAGATGTCTGTGTGTAGCTACTCTTAATATTCATTAAATATTGAATAATTTATTGATATTATTATTAATTTACATTTGTCATGTCATGTAACATGCATGCAAAACATTTAGTGAGAGAATGAATAAATGAAAGAATGAACAATAGAAGGATATAGAGGAATAGAATAATCAAAAGTCAAAAGGACAGATGGTGGTGAGAGAGGAGGGGTGGCTGAAAGAATATAGTTATAGTTTTGGGAAAAGACAGAGAGAGAAGTAAAAGTACAGAATCCAAAGGTCTGCTGCAGTGATGTCCCATTCTAAGCCCTGATTCACTTAAGGGTGGAGGTGAGCAAAATCAGCCACCTCTTGCTTTAAATGCACAAATGCACTCATACACAAGTTCTCTTTTTCTTTACAATGCTGTTTTAATACAAGCTGCTAATGTGCTAATGTGCATCCCCTTATTCCTATCATCTCTCTTTATATAATTTAGAGCTTGAGATCACAATGTCATCCAATAGTGTCTCTGACTCTTTAAAAAGGCCAGAGTATTTAAAATTGTATGATTTTGTGACATCCAGTTTTATAAATGATCTCCAACCCCACAGAGTAAAATTAGGAAAATCTGACTCACCACTTTCATCATCTTTAGAGCCAAAAGATCCTGTGCTGCTGGTTACATCTTCATCATCTCTTTCTTCATCCTCTGCTTCAGAGGTGCCCTTGTCTGCATCTGGAGTAATGGCACCAGGAGTCTGGGAGAACTCCTGAGCTTCACCATTTGTGGGAGAAATGTCTCTTATCTCCTCAGGAGGTGCAGAAATGTCAATGCCATCTTTCTCAGTTGCCTTTTCTTCCTGTTCTGGCACAGGTGTGGGGTCCAGATCTTCAGCTGTAGTCATAGAGATTTTATCGTCATTCTGAGCACTCAGCAAATAACTGACATGATCCACTGAGAAAAAGGTGAGAGAAAACTTGGGCTTTTTGGAAATCAGAGGAGGCTTCTTCTTGGGTGTAGAGTTTTGTGGCGTTTCCGCAGGTGATGCGAGGGCAGTCTCAAGACCATCTACTTCAGCTGTGGCCTTAACCTCGCCAAGATCTATGGAACCATTTGTAAAGCAGGATGTCTCTTCAGAATGTGATATTACACAGTCAGGTTTTGCTTCAACATGGCTATCCTGGCTATGCTGGATGGAGAGTTTTTTCTCTGGAGATGATGGCCTTAAATTTGGAGGTATGCAAGGGATGCCCTGAGGAACTGTGGGATGCCCTGGTTTTTGAGGCTTCTCTGGTGGTTGGGGTCTGGCTAACTGGCTAACTCCATTGTTTTCTGGCCATTTTGCTGGCCGAAGCTGCACACTCTGCAGGGCCATAGGGGTGATGAGAGGCATGCCAATCTTACTAAGCTCCTCTGAGTGAGGCGAAACTGGTTTTCTTTCTAGGTTCACTGGTTTTAAGCCACCTTTAATTTCCTTTAAGCAAGCAGAGGAAGGTGTAGGTGGTGTCAAGCTGGGTAGGTGTTGATTTTGGGGTGGAGAATAAGCAGGCAGTGGTGGAGGAGGTGGTGGAGGGCTGAAAGAACTATTGAGGCTTGACAAGACAGGGTCAGTCAACACTTCCGGAGGTGGAGGTGGTGGAAATTCAGGGGAGGAATTGATGTAAGGAGGGCTCATGGATGCTTGTTGATGGGGGGTTGTGGGTAAAGGAGGTGGCGGAGGAGGACATTTCTGGTCTATAGTGCACACAGGGCTGGAGGGTGGAATGGGAGGAGGAAAGGATGGAGGATTAAAAGGTGCAAGAGCCACAGGGCCAGCTGGAAGAGGAGGTGGAGGAGGAACATTGTTCCTGTTGGAATCAGAGGTGTTGGAGGAAAGAGAAGTGGAAGAGGAGAACCTTCTAGGCAGATTTAAAACTCTAGAGAGCTTGAACACGGATTATGCAAAATATAAGAAAATACAAGATTTCAAAACAGTCAATCAAAATCCTACATTTCATACAAGTACCAAGACACATCACAGCCGTAAATATTCCAAGGACATGCACATACGCATCACGCTGTTCAATTATAACATGTATGAAGGACGGTAAAAAGCTGTATGTTTAAGATTCTCTTACATTGTTATGGTCGTATCCACCTTTCCAGAGTTCAGTTGCTCTGCTCTCTTCTCATCTCACATCTGCACTTGCCTGAGCTGCTGAGGGTGATCTCACGTTACGCGCTCTCTTCCCTACCCCTCCCTCACTTTTCTCTTCCTATACCCACTGTCAGCTCCACCCCCCGCCCCATCCCGTTTAAAAGCTTTCCCTAGAGAATGCTGTGGCTGTCCCATTCTATCCTGACTCTGGCTAGAAGTGTGAGTGTGGTCACTGTGACAACGATGATGTTGAAAGAGACACACATATTCTCTTTAGCTGTAATGATTTTAAAAATATAAGAGAGAAATACCTAGAAAAGTCCTGATATGTAAGCTGCACACCTTCATTAAACTAAAAAATTTAATTTAAGAGATGTCTGTGTGTAGCTACTCTTAATATTCATTAAATATTGAATAATTTATTGATATTATTATTAATTTACATTTGTCATGTCATGTAACATGCATGCAAAACATTTAGTGAGAGAATGAATAAATGAAAGAATGAACAATAGAAGGATATAGAGGAATAGAATAATCAAAAGTCAAAAGGACAGATGGTGGTGAGAGAGGAGGGGTGGCTGAAAGAATATAGTTATAGTTTTGGGAAAAGACAGAGAGAGAAGTAAAAGTACAGAATCCAAAGGTCTGCTGCAGTGATGTCCCATTCTAAGCCCTGATTCACTTAAGGGTGGAGGTGAGCAAAATCAGCCACCTCTTGCTTTAAATGCACAAATGCACTCATACACAAGTTCTCTTTTTCTTTACAATGCTGTTTTAATACAAGCTGCTAATGTGCTAATGTGCATCCCCTTATTCCTATCATCTCTCTTTATATAATTTAGAGCTTGAGATCACAATGTCATCCAATAGTGTCTCTGACTCTTTAAAAAGGCCAGAGTATTTAAAATTGTATGATTTTGTGACATCCAGTTTTATAAATGATCTCCAACCCCACAGAGTAAAATTAGGAAAATCTGACTCACCACTTTCATCATCTTTAGAGCCAAAAGATCCTGTGCTGCTGGTTACATCTTCATCATCTCTTTCTTCATCCTCTGCTTCAGAGGTGCCCTTGTCTGCATCTGGAGTAATGGCACCAGGAGTCTGGGAGAACTCCTGAGCTTCACCATTTGTGGGAGAAATGTCTCTTATCTCCTCAGGAGGTGCAGAAATGTCAATGCCATCTTTCTCAGTTGCCTTTTCTTCCTGTTCTGGCACAGGTGTGGGGTCCAGATCTTCAGCTGTAGTCATAGAGATTTTATCGTCATTCTGAGCACTCAGCAAATAACTGACATGATCCACTGAGAAAAAGGTGAGAGAAAACTTGGGCTTTTTGGAAATCAGAGGAGGCTTCTTCTTGGGTGTAGAGTTTTGTGGCGTTTCCGCAGGTGATGCGAGGGCAGTCTCAAGACCATCTACTTCAGCTGTGGCCTTAACCTCGCCAAGATCTATGGAACCATTTGTAAAGCAGGATGTCTCTTCAGAATGTGATATTACACAGTCAGGTTTTGCTTCAACATGGCTATCCTGGCTATGCTGGATGGAGAGTTTTTTCTCTGGAGATGATGGCCTTAAATTTGGAGGTATGCAAGGGATGCCCTGAGGAACTGTGGGATGCCCTGGTTTTTGAGGCTTCTCTGGTGGTTGGGGTCTGGCTAACTGGCTAACTCCATTGTTTTCTGGCCATTTTGCTGGCCGAAGCTGCACACTCTGCAGGGCCATAGGGGTGATGAGAGGCATGCCAATCTTACTAAGCTCCTCTGAGTGAGGCGAAACTGGTTTTCTTTCTAGGTTCACTGGTTTTAAGCCACCTTTAATTTCCTTTAAGCAAGCAGAGGAAGGTGTAGGTGGTGTCAAGCTGGGTAGGTGTTGATTTTGGGGTGGAGAATAAGCAGGCAGTGGTGGAGGAGGTGGTGGAGGGCTGAAAGAACTATTGAGGCTTGACAAGACAGGGTCAGTCAACACTTCCGGAGGTGGAGGTGGTGGAAATTCAGGGGAGGAATTGATGTAAGGAGGGCTCATGGATGCTTGTTGATGGGGGGTTGTGGGTAAAGGAGGTGGCGGAGGGGGAAATTTCTGGTCTATAGTGCACACAGGCCCTAAGGGCGGAAGGGGAGGAGGAGAGGATGGAGGATTAAAAGGTACAATAGCCACAGGACCAGCTGGTAGAGGAGGTGGAGGAGGAATATTGTTCCTGTTGGAATCAGAGGTGTTGGAGGAAAGAGAAGTGGAAGACGATGATATGGATACAGAGGAAAGCAGGGATGATTTTCTTTCAGGTACTCTGGGTTTGGGTTTGCCTGATGGGGACATGCATCTCATGAAGGAGGGAACAGGAGTGCCAGCTGTTGGAGTGTTGGATTGACTCGAGTATCCACTTGATGGAGATGTCAATCGATGTACCCTATCCGGTGATGAGGTTTTAGGCTTCACAGACACATCACTTCCTTCCTGAGCATGAGGAAGATTAGCCTGGTTACCATTGTGGAGGCTTTTCCCATTTGCCATCTCAACCACTTGTCCAGCAGAAAGTGAATTGGTGCAAGGTGACCGTGTCTGATCCCCAGATGGACGAGGGTACTCCATGTAGTAGCCCCAGGAGTCTGCATAATCAGAACGGAGGCTACTAGTGTCACTAGGAGAAGGTGTGACGTGACAAATGGAGTACACATGAGCCATCCCTGTAACTGACACACCACTGCTGCCTGCACTGATGCTGCTCTGGCTCCTGGAACAAAGCATCCAGGGTTCCTCGTAGTCACTACAAGGACTATGAGACGGTGAGGTGGAGGACCCTTTACCTTTCAGCCCATTCTGAAGTGACTGTTGGAGCGTGGCAATCAATGACTCGTTGAGAAGCGGACCATTGCTAATATCTGACTGTCCAATACTGGCAGTGGGAGAGCTGGCTTTCTTAGGCTTTCGTCGTAGAGAGTCTGTGCGTGCTGGTGGAAGAGGTGGTTTCTTAGGCTTGCGTAGAGAAATGGAACGTGACAGTGACCGGTCACTGTACAAGCTGTTTTGGTCTTCTTGCTGACCCAGGCACTCGTACATACTGTGTCTTGCCGTTCTTCCTCCTATGCCATGACCATGGCCGCTACCCTGGCTCCTTGACCTAAGGCCTGAATCCAGATGCATGGAAGTGTAGTAGCCATCATTGTCCATAGAGTAGAGCGAACTAGAGTCTGTGCCTTTTGAGGAGCGTTCAAGGCTACTATAGAGATGATTTATGGGTGTTGAGCAGCTGGAAGATAGTGTCCTTCTGGGCAAGACATTCTCAGGAGTGTCATAAATCCATTGCTCATCTGAAGACAGTGTTCCTGCGGCAAGGGTGCTGTGGCTGTGCAAACTGCTATCGGACTGGCCAGTCTCACTGCAGGTATCCTTCATACCTGCTTCTGGTGTGTGTGATCCTGTGCCCACACTACTGGTGCTCTCACTGTTGACAGCTGAGACCATGCTAAGAGGTCTAGCTTTAGTGTACGGTGAGCCAGCAACTGGGCTCTGGCCAGGGCTTGACGTGTGAAGTGCGATAACCTCAGCAGAACATGATAGAGTAGCATTAGGTATAAGGGAGGTTGAGTAGGCAGCATGTGGAGAAACTACACAGGCTGGACTCGAGACAGATCCCCACGTACCTCTAACCTCCTGAGATTTTGGCCGTGCTTGGGTGCATACCCTGGGGGCATTCCTCATGTGCACCACAGTATCATCTACTTGTAATTTTCCAATCTGCTGAGTTGATTTTGCAGTGGAGTCTTCTTGCCTGAAAGGGGTGCTACTGTAAAGGGGCTCTGCGTTAAGAGAGACCCTTGCACCTCGCGGCAAGCTGTGAAAACGTTGGATATCATTGCCAAACCGTGGTGCCATTACAACAACTGAATTTCCAGGGGAGCTCCCATCGGAAACTGAAGAGATGTTCGTAGCAGAGGTGGAGATGCCGGCCATCTGAGCAGCAATTCCTTGGCCCTTCTGAGCCCGTATTCTCCTCACAGAGGGTGGGACGATTTTCACATCCTCAGTCTGGCAGCCAGAATCTTTTGTTATAGATCGACGGAGAGTGGAATTCCCATTTATGACTTGCCCAAGTGTTGAATACTGTCCAGGGATAAACATGGACTGTGGCCGAAGCTCTCCTCCACGCCCTTTAGCCGCTGCGGAGAAAAACAGAAAAGAGACAATTATGACAAATACTACAGCGGCTTGTTTCCATGTTTCTCTCCCCTCCCATCTCTTTGTGACATCAGCTGCCAATCAGATTAACCCTCTCAATTGAGAGCTAATTAATTTGATTAGCTGCAGCCACATGCGGCATGTTGATGACTTCTGGAAACTTCAATTAAGACCGATATCTTAATGGCTGGTGCCAAATATGTTGTCCATTCCTGAGTGTCAATGAGTGTGTGTGTACTAAATCAAGGATCTTAGGGGGACAGGCACTACAGCACGCTTCCACACAAACCACACATATTTATGGGCTTATTCATATATGCATGCAGACACATTTTTAGAGTTTAGTTGAAAACCACAGGCCGTTAATGCATTATGCCTCCTGTTACCATACACACACCGCAGAGTGCAACTGTGCATCTCCTTAACGTCACACTCACTGTTAGCGAATAAATTACCATACAAACGTAATCATGATATTCTAAACCATTAGACAGAGACTTGTCTTAAAAGCATTTCTATCAGATCAACTTTAGTTTTAAATCAGGAATATGACACCGATGCATGAAGTTAGTCCTTACTTCTGCATATATAAACAACACAATGGGACTTAATGTAGATTTATTGTACATCGCTATCAGAAAAAAACATCTTTAAAGAGCTTGACACTCTATTTATCCCCCACACCCATCTGTTCTGATAAAGAAGGGTTGATTAAAAGCTTATCTACAAATAGAAAATACAAATAGTGATGCAGAATGCCCTTTCCACAATCCCCATAATCTTGCATGTACACAAACAGAAATGGCATTTTAACAGTATGCTAGTGTTATTGAAAATGGATATGCATGAAACTTGCTCATAATACACACCCAACTATGATGACTATCTGCAATTTTCTTTCTTTTATGTCGTTTTACCTCTCCCCTCCCCCTATTTTACTTCCCTGATAAAATATGAAGTGTTTTGCCAGAGGAATCTGAATAGGGGATTATGCAATGGCTTCAGTTGGCTGCAAAGCAAAATGTAGCATGCCTCCTCCAACAATGGCTTCAAAATCAGCTCTCACATACACTAACAGGAAGCAAACTAAACAGAATCAGGGACCGTGACCCAGGGGAGTGGTGGGAAATGGAATGCTGCTGGATGCAGCTGTGGGATGCTGAGATTATATAACAGAGAGCGTCAAGAGTATGCATGCAAAGACTCACAGTGAAAAGAGAAGTAAAACAAAATCCCCATTTAGGGCACTAAATTAGCAAATCAATACATGATTTGAGAGTACACTAATGAGACCGTTATTTTAAATAGGAATACATTTATTTTGGATAGAGAAAGAGCTCAGGGGGCGTATTACAGAAAGATCCTAACTTTAAAATCTTATCTTATCTTATCTTATCTGTTTGGTAACCATGGTAATTTCAGTTAGGACCACATTTAGGACAAAAGCTATTACAGAACAGCGTTTCCTAAGTGTGTTATCTTATCTTAACTACAGATAGGAAGGGGGTATTACAGAAACCTCCTAACTTGACAAAAAATCCTAAAAACTGTCTTAACTTTAGGACAACCCCACAGCTGTCCTAACTTCAAAATTATTTGAAAGCTAACGGAAAAACCGCTTACAATTGCACTGTCCAACAATTGTATTACATTTATTAATAATTGAAAATGAAGAACGGAGATGTTTAATGGTAGAAAGACTCTTGGAGGACCCTGAAGATGTGTTACATTTTGATGACAAAACACTTAGAAGTAATAACAGACTGCCGCGCAGCATGATATTACAGTTAGCACAGGAGCTGCAGCCAGCATTACAGAGACCAACAAAGCGTCACGGAGCATTACCGGTTATTGTGCAAGTGACTAATGCCTTACACCGTGTCTGCACTGGACGCGAGCGGCGCAACAAAATACTATAGAACTCATTATAATCAGTGATGCTGTCTACGGCGCGGTGCAACACGACAGATCCCTGACAGTAAACTGCTGCCGCGTTCTATTTATGACGTGCTGACACAAATTTCAAATGATTTTCAACGGTCGCTTTGTCGCGTCCAGTGTAAAGTAGACAGACTTCAGCTGCTGCGGCGCGGCGCGACACGACACCTGTCGCGTCCGGTGTAGACACGGTGTTACGGTTATTTGCAAAAGGCGATTTTCAAAGTGAAGTAGCTTCTATTATTTTGTTTACCTCATCAGCAGCTTGCGCAGTGTTGGTTGCTTGGTAACAGACCTGAGAGTGGATTGTCGAGCTTGATAATGCAATTTTAAGATTTCCTAACTAGAGATAAGATACGATTTTGTAAGATAGGATAAGAATCCCAAATCAAGTTAAGATTTGCTTCTGTAATACGAATTTCTGAAAAATCCTAATTTAACATATCACATCTTAAGTTAAGACCTAAGATAAGAAACTTTCTGTAATACGCCCCCAGATTAGGATAATTCTAAGATTCTAAAATCAATGCAAAGAAAATGCATTGAGATAGGAATGAGGCATGGTCATGTCAAACTACATTAGATGGTCATGACAGCTACAGTAGTACATGAAACTCAACTAAATGGAAACAGGTGAGGCAGGAGCAGCAGCAGAGAGAGCTGGCAAAGCCATACCATACCTAGTTCCTGTTGGACGCTGTCAGGCACCCCTGAAATAGTCTTTCTCCGCTTAACCTTCTTGGGCCGGCGGACCAGAGTGTCAGTGTTTATAAGGGAGCGGCGGATGCTGGCCTGCCTGTCAAACGTCTCCCCTGGAGACCAGTTGACGAGGGCAGACAGGCAAAAGGGCCAGTTAGTAACATACATGCATCACACATGCAGCGCACACACACATACAGTTCCAGTACAACTTTCATGCAGAGCCACACACATTCTGCATAAGCAAATGATGCGAAAACCAAAGACAAAGACAAAACTGCACACATATCTATACTCAACTATGTTCAAGTGTGTCTGTGTCAAAAATGCATCTATGTTCAAGATTGGGTGGACAATATACGCATGCAAACTGCATGCTCTTATCTGTGGTATACTAGGGGAAAATCTAGATCCAAATAGAAAGTTCTCACTCTATATGAAGTATATGAAGAGGCAACCCTTATTTGAAATACAATATTAGAAACTGTATTTTAACTATAAAAGCACTTTTGTGCTGTAAGATGTGCTGTAGCGCTGCAAAAGCGTGGAAACTCCAGAGACTGGGCACTGTTGACTAAGCTTCAGCACGCTGGGATGTCTGACTAAGTCACGGAGCTGACAGACTGAATTAGTGTGGGGGTGTGTATGTGTGTGTGCTTTAAAGTCTAATGCAGCTTCTTCCTGACCCTTTTTTTTTTTTGAAGGGATTGGAAATACAGAGATTATTCTGCCTGTGGAAGAGACTATGTAGTAGGTGAGACTGTGTTCTTTTGGATAAGGTGTGTGTGTGGGTGTATATTTCACAGTGATGAATTTGTGAGACTTAATGCTCAAACAGATAACTCTCAAAGGTCAAAGAGATTGAGGAAATGACAGAACTGTTAATATGAGAATTATTAATGCACTCATACACATTCACGTTCGATCTATCCACATGGTTATGTATCCAGAACAGGCAGTAAGTAGTGATCATGCATGCAGTGCTCAAATGTTAGGTACATATAATAAATAAGTTATTAGGAATTACAAATAAAATCCAGTAACAAATTCAAAGATTTTGGTTAGAGATCCACATGAAACAAACTATGAGTGTAACAGACCAACTATATGAATTCTAGACTGACAAACATAAGGACTCTTCAGAGACATAACATGGAAGTGACATTTTTAAAGTTTCTGCAATGCTGACTGGTTTGCCTGACAGCTGATGGGATATATTTCTTACCTGTGACATTGATGGGGACAATATCTGTGAGAACGGCCTGAGCCTGCTGCCTCATCTTCTCTTCTGGAGTGGGCAGGGGCGGAGCTTTGGTCTGTGACATTTGTCCATCAACCTCAACCCCCTCCACCTGCGCTGGACTCTGTGCTCTCATTTGGCAGGTGTCTTTCTCTTCCTCTCCTGAAGATGCTGTGGACTGGAAAAGAGGTGAAAATACAGTGAGTTTCATGACTGCAGGGGGCTTATAGAGATAAGTAAGCAGAAGAAAAAAAATAAAAATAAAGCATTTTTGAGACTAGTAGGGAGTTTCAGACTCAGAGCTCCTCTTTAACTTTAGCCAAGGGTTGTTTAAGGGTTCTGTGTCCCGACTTATTGGAGCTCCAGGAGTATACAGAGCAGTTTCACGGGCAACTGACCACCAAACCACACATTCACATAAACACACTGAGAAACTCAGAGAAAGAATACAGAACGAGAGCTGAGAGAGGGGAAAAACCAGTGAGGCGTTAAAACTCTGTTCACGCATTGTGATTCTGAAATGGGAACGCCGTTCGCAGCAGAGTTACAAGTGGACCATCTGAAGTTTCAATCCAACACCTGGGCCTCCCTCAGCCTCCCTAACAAACCAACTGTAGTACACCGCAATACATTTAATTATCCATCCAGGTCACTAACAATAGTGCAAACCCTATTCACAGCTGCCTGAGGTCTTGTTTTATGTTTCAACATTTTATTACCCGTCCTGCCTCAGTCAAAGAGGTATGACTTTCAGTGTAAAATAAAGAGTACTTCTAAAAAATGCTGCTTCTACAAAAGCTGTCTCCAATAAAATAGTTAAATGAATTTTTAAAACCAAAAATCTGCAGCAAAAACCTTTTCAAAAGCAACAAACAATTTTTATGTTTTATGATGTTAAGGCAGTGAAATAACATCCCCCCCCAAAAAAAAAGGTTCTCCATGATATAGCAAAAAGCAGGAGAAAGAAGAAAGAAAGAACAAGAAAACGGAAAGCAAAAGGCCTGTCCAGCACTGTAACCTGAGTTAACCTCAATCCCAATGGGCTGGGAAAGTAGGTCTAGGGTGGTTAAAAAGGGTAAAAGGGCATGGGATCCTTTAGGGAGGGCTAGGGGTAATAGGAGGACAAAAGGACCCCTGAATCTTTGCTTTTACAGGGTCTGACCTTTCCAGGGCCCCTGAACGCAGTGTGCTTAAGCGATAAAGACAAGAGAGAATGAGGGCAAGGGTAAGATGGTTGTGCTATAAACAAAATTGCATAATTATTTCTTGCTAAAACTTTCATGATTGTCCAATTGAATTAATTCAGTTAAAGTCCTTTTCTTTCAAACCTGTCTTCAATGCGCACAGGCTGAACGAATGAAAAATCTCAGTAAATAACACAAGCGCAGTTGTTGCTTTCTAACATTCTGAGTAATAGTTTCATTAGCGTGTCAGTCTCCTGGGGTTCAGCTCTCATTTTCAAATGATTTTCAACGGTCGCTTTGTCGCGTCCAGTGTAAAGTAGACAGACTTCAGCTGCTGCGGCGCGGCGCGACACGACACCTGTCGCGTCCGGTGTAGACACGGTGTTACGGTTATTTGCAAAAGGCGATTTTCAAAGTGAAGTAGCTTCTATTATTTTGTTTACCTCATCAGCAGCTTGCGCAGTGTTGGTTGCTTGGTAACAGACCTGAGAGTGGATTGTCGAGCTTGATAATGCAATTTTAAGATTTCCTAACTAGAGATAAGATACGATTTTGTAAGATAGGATAAGAATCCCAAATCAAGTTAAGATTTGATTCTGTAATACAAATTTCTGAAAAATCCTAATTTAACATATCACATCTTAAGTTAAGACCTAAGATAAGAAACTTTCTGTAATACGCCCCCAGATTAGGATAATTCTAAGATTCTAAAATCAATGCAAAGAAAATGCATTGAGATAGGAATGAGGCATGGTCATGTCAAACTACATTAGATGGTCATGACAGCTACAGTAGTACATGAAACTCAACTAAATGGAAACAGGTGAGGCAGGAGCAGCAGCAGAGAGAGCTGGCAAAGCCATACCATACCTAGTTCCTGTTGGACGCTGTCAGGCACCCCTGAAATAGTCTTTCTCCGCTTAACCTTCTTGGGCCGGCGGACCAGAGTGTCAGTGTTTATAAGGGAGCGGCGGATGCTGGCCTGCCTGTCAAACGTCTCCCCTGGAGACCAGTTGACGAGGGCAGACAGGCAAAAGGGCCAGTTAGTAACATACATGCATCACACATGCAGCGCACACACACATCCAGTTCCAGTACAACTTTTATGCAAAGCCACACACATTCTGCACAAGCAAATGATGTGAAAACCAAAGACAAAGACAAAACTGCACACATATCTACACTCAATTATGTTTAAGTGTGTCTGTGTCAAGAATGTAACTATGTTCAAGATTGGGTGGACAATATATGCATGCAAACTGCACTTGCCTTTGCAAGGCTGTATGGGGGATACAGCTCTGATCTGTGGTATACTAGGGGGATCCTAGATCTAAATAGAAAGTTCTCTTCTCACTCTATATGAAGTATTTGAAATATAATATTAGAAACAGGATTTTATCTATAAAAGCACTTTTGTGCTGTAAGATGTGCTGTAGCACTGCAAAAGCAAGGGAACTCCAGAGACTGGGCACTGTTGACTAAGCTTCAGCACGCTGGGATGTCTGACTAAGTCACGGAGCTGACAGACTGAATTAGTGTGGGCTTGTGTATGTGTGTGTGCTTTAAAGTCTAATGCAGCTTCTTCCTGAGTCATAGTGAAGTTCAGAAGGGATTGGAAATTCAGAGCTTATTCTGTCAGAGGAAGAGACTATGTCGTAGGTGAGACTGTGTTCTTTTGGATAAGGTGTGTGTGAGTGTGTACTTCACAGTGATGCACAGCTGAATTGGCAGGGAGATTTAATGCTCAAGAAGATACTCTCAAAGGCCAAAGAGAGAGAAGGAAATGTCAGAACTGTTAATATGAGAACTGTTAATGCACTCAGACACATTCATATTAGATCTATCCACGTGGTTATATACCCAGAACAGGTAAGTAGTGGTCATGCATGCAGTACTCAAATGTTAGAAACAGACATATCAGTTAGGAAAAAGTTATTAGGAATTACAGATAAAATCCAGTTACAAATTCTAAGATTTTGAAAAAACTATGAGTGTAACACACAGACCAACTATATGAATTCTAGACTGACAAACAGAGTTGGGCAAGTTACTTCCAAAATGTAATACATTATATATTACTAGTTACTGTCTTTTGAAAGTAATTAGTTACATTACAATATTACTGTCTCTGAATTGTAATGCGTTACACTACTTTTGAGTTACTTTCACCAAAATATCCACAAAAGTATTATAAAACGCCAAAATGTGGTTTATTGCTGCTCATTCTACATCCAGTGGAGGGTAATGTGGTAGGTATATATAGCATAAAATATATGAAATCATATTTAGATACCGGTATGTAGGTCTACATTAATGTTACGTTGCAGTTTAGGTTAAAAAATATATAAGCACAAATCGCATTATTACATTCATAAATAACACCGGTAAATAAAGCGAAATATTATCATGTACAAACAATAAACACAATACCTAGCCTATAGGCTATTTTGAACGGTTTCAGAAGAAAACAAGAATGAAAAATATAAGTTGCTAAACAAACCAAAATGAATTAGGCTAATTCAATGCGAAACTGAAAGCAAACGGCGTTCTCGCGCAGCCTACCTCTCTCATTCGGCATTAATCCAATTAAATGTGTTGTCCAGCACTGTAACCTGAGTTAACCTCAATCCCAATGGGCTGGGAAAGTAGGTCTAGGGTGGTTAAAAAGGGTAAAAGGGCATGGGATCCTTTAGGGAGGGCTAGGGGTAATAGGAGGACAAAAGGACCCCTGAATCTTTGCTTTTACAGGGTCTGACCTTTCCAGGGCCCCTGAACGCAGTGTGCTTAAGCGATAAAGACAAGAGAGAATGAGGGCAAGGGTAAGATGGTTGTGCTATAAACAAAATTGCATAATTATTTCTTGCTAAAACTTTCATGATTGTCCAATTGAATTAATTCAGTTAAAGTCCTTTTCTTTCAAACCTGTCTTCAATGCGCACAGGCTGAACGAATGAAAAATCTCAGTAAATAACACAAGCGCAGTTGTTGCTTTCTAACATTCTGAGTAATAGTTTCATTAGCGTGTCAGTCTCCTGGGGTTCAGCTCTCATAATGGGGCTGACAACATTAATGAAGCCGGCAGAGATACTGAAGAACTGAGGCGGGAACTCCACAGAGGCACATGTGGGAGGCTTGATTCAGTACCCAGAACCCATCTGCAGGCAGACACTCTCTCCAGCAGAGGGTAGCCAAATCCTACAGGCTTCTACACAGTCACTGCAATCACAGACCAGCTTTCTGTACTGATTTCATAACAGATCATTCTTTTTATACTATACTAACAAATAATACACTTTACACCACTTGAATTCATGTTTTGTTTTTTTTTTTAAATCAGGCATTAGACCATTAAAATGTACAGTGAAAAACACTGGATGTTTCAGTACATTTGAAACCTGGCATGGATAAAAAGAGTATAAAATGCGTTAAACAAACGTACATTTAGTACATACATATATGTAAACATACTATAAACAACAATAATAATTGTTATTATTATATTTTATATGAATATAATATAAAATATAATAAAAACATAAAAATACAATAAAATATATAAAAATAGAATAAAATATAAAACCAGTACTAATGACCAGGAAACAATTCTTAAATAATCCTACCTTTTTATCAGCTTCATCATCTTCTATATCCTCGTCCTCATGTTGGGAGTTTGTGGAGCCTGAGAAGGTGGGCCCCTGTGAGTAGTACTGTGAGCTGCGGAAGCCATCTTTCCTCAGTTTATCACATTCTGTGGGAACAGAGCAGACACATCAGGACAAGTTTGAAAAAGAAAGTTTTTATGAACTTTCAAACATAAGGTATAGAAGCAGATCATGTTTATTTGGCTCCCTCTAGTGGTCTGAGAGTGAAAGCACCATTTTTAGAACATGAAAATGAGGAATGATGAAAAGAGGAATTGTTTCATCTTTGAAGTAATAAAAAAAAAAAATTATATTAAAATCGTATTTTGCCCCTTTACACTTGTGGATGTTAGACAAACTTTGTAAAGAGATTTTAAAACAGTAGTGGACAGAGATGTGTTCCGCTCTGTATATTTGTGTGTGTGTGTGTTTGACAATGTGCAGGCTGCATCATAAATACTGGCTTTTTAAGCTAACTGTTGCAGATGGCAGCTACATCCCCTTGGCACACATCCCACAATCCCTTCAGTCATCCAGTCAGCTGAATCCAGCAGTCTATCTGCTGACAATGTCATCTTCTGCATGTCATCTTCGCTCATCTTCTGCATGTCTTTCCTTATTTACTGACTTTCATTTTATGACACTGAACTGCAGCTGGGTGATGCAGCCCATTAAATAGCTGAAGTGTGCCATTTCTGTGCCACTAACAGCAACAAACTGAATTGCAAAAATATTGAGTTGTTTCGCAAACAAGTTTCCCAAACGATTCTCTCATTCGCCAAAAATTTTTTTTTTTCTCACTATTGTTGTCGTGCTGGTGAAAATGCTCAAGCAAACAGAGCGATGTTTTGATAGCACCACAGAGTCTAAAAAGGGGGAAAATATGCCATTGAAGCATATCTAAATTCGAAAATAAATGCAAAAAAAAAAAAAACTAAAAAAAAGAATGATAAAAAATTACTTAAACAAAAAAATCGTATTTAAATGTTTAATTAATTAAAAATCTAAAAAATCTAATACCTTTTAAAGGGGTCCTATTATGCTTTTTCACTTTTTTAATTTTAGTCAGTGAAATGGCATAAAAAAGATCTTCAAACTTACAAATCTCAAAGTCCACTCCAAAGGGAGATATTTCGTTTTTAAAAAAATCCCTTTTCAAGAACTACAACGAACGGCTCGTTTGGACTACAGCGTTTGTTTTCCGGGTTTTGTGATATCACAAAGCGGCCCATTAGAATATTTCCCGCATACGGAAATTCGAAAGGTTGGGGGGGGGGGAGGGG